AATAAAAATATTTCATTACACATAAACAAATTTAAAGCAGTTTTAGATCTTTTTGTATTCAGTATTTAAAGCTGATGATACTATATATAAACTTTTAATAAAGCATATTTATTTACATTTTTATAATAAAATTAAATTCAAATAAATTTTGTTACTTTTAAAAAATTTATAATTATCCATATTTTCGAGTTCTAGTATTTTCAATTTCGTCTCATTTTAAAATTCTTGAATTTTTAAAATATTAATAAATATAATTTCAAATGTCTTTGAGTTTACGTTTATATATGCTTTTATATTTATGCTTTATGCTTAATTTATGCTTGCGTCTAATTATCGTTAAAATGTGTTCATATTGAAACAATAATAAGAAAATATAGAGAATGGTAAAACTGTAGTCATTTTTAAGCAGCGTCTTCAACCAAGCAGAATAAAATATTCACAAGTATCTTCTAATCGAACACCCTAATAAATTCCAATACTTAAGCGGTGTAATCAGCATTTACAAGGAATGAGAAGAAAAAGTGTGTAGCATATAAGAGTGAGAAGAATAAAAAATTGTTCAAAGACTTCGGAACGTTTGTTTTTCAAGATTTACATTATATCGATCGCACATTAGAGTGAAGTGATATGTAACGGAGATGATGACGCGAGCTTGAAATAAGACAAAGTTGCCTTTATAATCTGCCTCTCTGTGTGACGCGGTACTTTAGCTTTAGTCGCTATGCGTGAGAATTCCTTATGCGTTATTTCACATTCTTTTGATTTTTTTCCACCTTCTCTTGAATTAATTCTCTATATTATCTACTATTTATATTTTTTTAATAAAAAATATATTAAATTAATTTAATAACACATTTTATTTTTTAAATAAACTTTTCACAATTTTTACGTTTTCTTTCTTTTATTTTTGTCGTTTTTTAATATAGCGCGTACAAGTATTATATGTGCTTTCATTACTTGAATATGCATTTGAAAATATTAAAATATATAAATAAATGTTGTAATTGTAGTTTAATATAATAAAATAAATAGAAAGATCTAACAATTTTTATACAATTAACAATTTTTATATGGACTAATTGTTTGATTAAAAGGAAGTGAAGATTAATTAATTTATTTAATTATTCAATCAGGAACACCCGATAAATGCAGTAAATACAGTTTTCTGAAGTTTTAATGAAATTTGTTTAGACAAATTTTTAATAGATCAATTCCAACATTACCAATTCAATACAATCCATTAATTTCCATTATTGATACTCTTATTCATTGTATTATTCCTATATCGCAATATTATCGCTTTAAATTGACTACCATAATTTACGGTTTTGAGAATTGACGGAGAAAGGCAACTTTAGTAATTAAAATGACGACTGTATTGAATAAGACAATCCCTCTGGTGTATTGAAAATCCTAACGATCTTCGAAATCGATTTTGCGAACCTACTTCTTGTTATTCGAAGTTAAAAGCTTCTAATCGCAATTTATGTGCTTACGTCTAAACTTCAAATGTGAGATAATGAATATATAATGGAAAAGGTAGCAATAAAAATTAAAAATATAAACAAAATAGTCTGAATAAGAAAGTTAAAATTTTGAAATTTTATTTTCAAATTATTTGAAAAAAAAGTTTTCTTAATTCTGAATAGATATTAAATGTATTTTCATATTTTAATAAGTTTTAGATATATTAAGATATGAAATTCATATTGAAAATTTATGTTAGTAAGTTAGCTTATAATACAATGTATATATGATATTCGAAAAATGCATTTGGAAATATTCAAAAATGAATATCGTTATCTTAAATAAATATGATGCACTTTTTATAAAATAAGTTGATCATATTGATAATAAAGTAACTTGTTTAAATATTCAACTACTTTTCTTTTATTTTTTTAAGTAATGTTCCTATGTTTAAAGAAAAATATAATGATCTATTTTGTTTTTTGTTAAAATATATACTTGATATCGCTTTTGACCTTACTCGGTTACTCGACTTGCATTGCAACAGACGAAATTGACGATGGCCTCGATATTAGCAAATCACGATAATCACTAACTTTATTATTTTGTTATATAGCTACAATTGTCAAGAATTATAATAAATATTTGTAAATAAATTACGACTGATAAAAATTATAGATAAATTCGATTATATATTCACTACTTGCATTTACATTTATGTAAGATATAATTTTTAATATTATATATTTATTATACTTATAATTAAATAAATACAGCTCCTAGAAAATTACTATCATATTTAAATACAATGATTACTTATTTTAAGATATGCTGGTAAAAATAATATCTAGAATCAATACATACTATTCAGAGATTTTTAGACGCATTTTTTAACTTTCGTCTATTCGCAAAATGAAAATATTTTCTTCAATTACATTTTATGCACTAAATTTTCATAGTAATGTATTGAACATAATTTGAGATCAATATTAAATATCACGTGGTAAAAACACCCACATGTATCCTGTAAATGAAGCGACCCGAATAACAAATCGAGTGACTTCATCATTTTATGATTTTTTGCGACTCATAATTCGGCGTTACGCGTGCTGCAAATATCGAGCAAATAGTTATAGTATTAGAGTAAATACAAATGCAGGTCGATTATGGTATTAGTGAACATATCTCGGTAATTACACTGCTAAATTTAGGCGGTGCGGTTTAAGCGTCAATGTGCGGATGCGAATTCAGAACGACCTACGTCCCATCTATCCTTTTCGCGTTCTCTGTCATATTCTTGCATATGAGCTTGCGCAAAGCTATAGCTTGCCACCTCCGAACGAGTAGCTCATTCGCGTATGGACACTAGTATTGGATGTGAATGGAAGAATGTGAATGTGAGTAAGCCTGGCAGCATGCCTGTGTTTATATTTAGTCACAGTGGGCGTTATGGCTGTCATGGATACGTATCATCGGCATAACTGAGACTTGCTCAAATGAATAATGAAGTTTCATTGGCCCTCGCGCAAGCAAATTTATGCACACATGCGTACATGCGCAGATTCTCATTCTAGTACAGCAGCTGGCCTCCCTTCTCGTGTGTTCAAACAATTATTGACAACCATTAACAATCCGCTTGTCTCTTCTCCACTTGGATAATGATTAGTTTCTTCTCCGCATGGACTTGAAATCGTTGTAGTGTCTCTTAATTTACTAATAATTACATAATACATTGTAAAATTAAAAAATTTCATTATCGCTGAATTTTAGAACAGAATTATAATAAAGACAGATTCTTTCAAATTTATCTTTTTTAAAAATATTAAAAAAAATTTTTTTCTATTATATTATGTTCCTTTCTCCTTAAAAGTAGAAAAATGTTACAAAAAAAATGAGTTAGAAACTTTTGGTAGTAGTTTTGCTTTAATTACTCATTCATTAAACAGTTAAGAACTCTTTTAGAATTTTATTTATTAATTAAAAAAATTACAAATTACATCCAAATTCATAACTGCTAACATTTAATTTTTTATCTATTTCATATATTTTTTTATTTATATAAAGAGTAGTATTAACAAATTTAATTTATAGTAATCTATTAATTAGTAACGAATAATTTTATAATAACAATTAATTATTTTTGTTAACTATTTCAGTCTTTTTCTTACGAAGATTTTATAATATAATCCATCTATACTTATTCGATTCCATTAATGCATATTGAAAATAATAAAATTCAGGAAGAATCCAAAAAATGAGTTATATTCCTACAAACTCATTTAATAATTAATATAATTTTCTATGATATGAAATTAATTATCTTCAAGGTATTTCCTGTTAACAAAACAAAAGGTTATGTATGATTTGGTATTGAGTTAATTCTTGTTTTTGCTGTATTGAATTAATTCTTGATTTTTTCCAAATCATATGTTTCATATGTTTTAACACAAAAACAAAACTTGCAACTCCTTTTTGAAATTCCACATCTTACAAACTCAATTTTTTTCATTGTTATCTTATTTAATTAAATTATATATAGAACGTACTTATTCCATATAAAGTAATTTGAATCGATTGCGTATAAATTTTAAATTGTTGATAATATATTAGTACCAATAACTCCTTTATACTTATTTATGATCGCTTAAAAGTACTTAATATGCGTTAGCTGATTTTTCATCGATCATTTTTTTGCTTGTGTATAAAACACCTAAAGGCAAATATCATAATAAACGTTGGATACTGTAAAGTGGATTATAATCGGAATATATACGGAATATATCGGATTATAATACGGAACACGATACGCAAAGTGAACTAAGCATTAACTATGTACCGTCATTAGTTGATGGATAAATGACTTCCTTGTCTAAAATAATCTTTAATCGTTTTAAGTTCAACTGAATAACAGCCAGATTGTATATAATGTTAACATATGCATAAAATTAATATAGTACTTTATAAAGTGTATACAGATTGTATTAACTAACTGTTGAATTAGAAATAAATTTTTGTAATTAATATTTTATTTTTCTATTAGAACTAAACTATAGAATTACTAATTTTTAGAAATAATTTTATTTTGACCAATAATTTAAAAGAATTACAAATAATAGTTTTAATAATATAATATCTATAAAAGTATTATAGTGTATTATCTTAAATAATTAGTCATGAATAACATTAAATTATACTACAATAAACAAAAATCTAATTTGATGAAAAATTATAGTTATATAAAACATGGTAAAAGATTGTTATTCCCACAATATATTTAATATAAATAAATTTAAATGAGTTATTAATAAAATTAAAGTATTCATTTGTGGCATGTGATTTTTAAATAATGTATAAAAATTTAGTGTTTAAGGAAATAAAAATTAAAAGTATAATATATATAACTTTAAATCTAGAAGTAACTTATTTAACGTATATCATCCTTTTAGTGTATATCATTGTTACTGTTCAAAGCAAGTTCATTACTAAATTTTTAATACACTTCTTAAATTTATTTCTTCATTTTTCTCTTGCAGCCGTATCCCACACATATAGGTGTTGACTCACAAAAACAGATTGATATGCAACGATTGCAATCGGAGCACCTAAAGCGTTTACAAGAGCACATAATGCAGCATAATATTCAGGAGCTACAAGCACAACTCACGAAGGGCCAGTTGGGAATGGCTGGACCTCAGTCTCTTATGTTCTTACCGTTTCTCGAACAGTTAAGGGGTTTGCCAATTCCGACGCCCATGCCACCGCCCACTTCTACTACTACCACCGGCAGCAAGCACATCAATTCTATCGCAAACGTGTGTATTAACAATAGCTTTTATGTTTTCTAAATATACTTTTAATTCCATCATTTTTATTAATAATTTTTTATAAATTTTTAATAAATGCAATATTAAATATCAATTAAGAAAAAGCTGATTTTAAATATTGAATAACTGATTTTATTATGATTTTCACATACAACAAGTAATATTAATATCAATAAATAATGTTGTATGAAGATTTGATTGGTTCGCTAGTTAAAAAAATGGTAATGATTTTGCGCCTTTTTTTGTATTTTCACTATTTCGTAATAGCTAATACATTTATATTTTCGTTGCATTTATGCAGATGATAAGTAGTCATCGAGAGGGTCCGAGCTGGGCGACGGCTCATCTTGCTCAGATGTCGACACAACTGGATAAAGAACGATCTCCGACGCCCATATCGACAGCGGCAACGCCAGCAGCGCCACCCCCGCCAATGCCCCCTGATCCGGATGCACCCCTCAATCTGACCAAACCTAAATCCTCAGGTGCAATTGCAAATTCATCTCCAAGTAGCGATTCCGCGGTGCTTGCAGGCAGTGGTCAACATCAGGAGCAGCCACTAGCAGCGACAGCACCAAAGCTCTTTCCTCCTGGGATGGCAATGCCTAGGAATTATCTACCAAGTCTACCCTATGCTGGATTGCCACCGCACCTCAGCTCTCTCTCTACACCCAGTCAGTATCCTAATTTTCATTTTTAAACGTTCGCGAAATTTGTAGCTAGCAAAGTACGAAGTAAATTTGAAATGTATTAAAAAAATATTTTAAATTATTCACGACGAATCGGTTCTAGACATAATTATTATGTCATTAAAAAGACTTTATTTCTTTTAAAGAGTATTTCTTGATTTTTTCATAGAAATTAATCATACCGAGAATGATTTTAACAATAATATTTATTCTGAATTTTGCTTTATTATCAAGTCATTTTTTATTAAGAAAACTCTTGCATAGGATCTATTATTATTTGCAATCTAATTTTAATAATAATTTTTTCTAATCTTTAATTATTTTAAGTTTTGCAAGGCAAGCGTTTTATAATATTTATACCAGCATATTGAAAATGTGACTAAAAAGCATTGCTTATTTTAATCATTCATATATGCGAAAATTAAATATTATCGTATTATTTCATACAAATTATAAATTATATATTTATATATTATATTTACTAAATTATAAATTACATTATATCGGAATGATGTTATATAAAAAAAATATATGAGGTATGATGAAATATAATATAACTTCGTATTTATAAAATGAAATTTTATAAATTTGCTTTATTGCACAGTTATACACGTTAGATCGATATTATGATCTCTTAAAATTGTTTTTATTAAATATACCTATCGATTTATAAATCAAATGTACTTGCCTACTTTTGTATAGCTTTCATTATTGAAAGTGCACATTAAATAATGTTTGTAAATTGATACATATTAATATGTAATGACATTACCAGTAGTTATTTAGTTGTATCGCAACGAATACACGTAGTTAAGCAAGTATCAATTTGCACGATTAATAGGAAAATTTTAAGGGAAATTAATAAAATGTTCCTAATACTATGTTAAACGGAAAGGATGAAATTATTAATCAGATATAAAATATAATAAAGCCTGTGAAACTATAGTGAGCAAGATGGCAAAGGAAGAGAACAGCAGCTCTGTTAGGGACGGCAGCGGGGGAGGTACGCAAACTGGTTCAGTAGCTGCTGCAGCTGTGGCCGCTGTCGAGAAACACTTTGTGATGCACGGAATCTACGGTTTGCCACCACCAAATACTGGAGCGATGCCGCCTTCGCCCCAACAACAGAGGCAAATGAAACACTCATCAGCACGGGACGAGTCCGCACCAGACGAGCAGGACTTCCTCTCGTCGCCACACAGTGAGTTTCGTTATGCGTATTAGTTAAGCAGATTTAAATAGCGCATAGGTTTAATTTGAAAATTTATTCGGTTGCAATTTTTATTATACTTATTTTAATCATTTTTATCATAAATATAATAGTCATTATTGTCATAATTTATTGTTACAAAATATTCATTCAGAGTAAATATAGTTTAAAGAAGTATATTAATTCATAATATATACAGAATATATCAGAAATAATACTAAGCATTTATTAAAGGAAAATTTTTTAAGATAAAAAATAAATCAATTGCTTACAAACATGATATTCATATTTTAGTGTGGCGTGATTCAGGCTATAAAGTTTCAGAAGACATTGCAGAAAAAGGTACATTATTTAACTATGAATTTACATTGAAATATTATGATAATGGTTTAATCGAAAGTCAATAATGCTGAAATATTATATGTTATTATTTTAGCAAAAATGGTGAGGCAGCAAAAGAGAGAAGGTGAAAACAAACCACATATAAAACGACCGATGAATGCTTTCATGGTGTGGGCTAAAGATGAACGTAGAAAAATTTTAAAAGCTTGTCCAGATATGCATAACTCAAACATATCTAAAATTCTCGGTGAGTATTTTCAGTTAAAGAATGGCTTTTTTAACACGAATTTAACTATAAAGGAACTAATAGCCGAATAGTTTACTTTATAATTAATTAAATTTACAATAAATTACGATATGTAAATATATAGTTGCGCGATACACTATTTAATATTACTACGTTAAATATGATAAATAAATCGTTAAATATAATATAGCAGATATAATAAATGAATGTTTTGATAAAATTTTAAAGTTACAATGCAATTGGGCTAAGTTTATAGGTCGATCTTGATTGAGAAGAACAATGAAAGTTTATTGGAGCATTTAAATTGGAAGTGTGGCGTATGTGTGTAATGCATCATTAACTGACAAATAATTGCTCAAACAGGTGCCCGATGGAAAGCGATGTCGAATTCAGAGAAGCAGCCTTACTACGAGGAACAATCGCGGCTCTCTAAGTTACATATGGAGAAACATCCGGACTACAGGTACCGTCCGCGCCCCAAACGAACCTGTATCGTTGACGGCAAGAAAATGCGTATTTCCGAGTATAAATCGCTGATGCGTCAACGGCGACAGGAGATGCGGCAACTCTGGTGCCGAGATGGTGGTCCGGAGATCGGCTTCCTTTCACCCGTTCAATCCGACATGAGTGGTCAACAGCAGCAGCACGCGAGCGGTGCAGGGCCTTCGGCTCGACCCTCTGTGTCGCCGCCAACGTCGATGCTCAATGGTACTGCTGGTCCCAGCTCCGATCATCCCTCATTCTACTACCCACAGGATAGTCTTTCGCCTACCGACGTTCTCAACTTTTCACCAGACAACTCGGGCTCCATGGGCGGCTATGACGCCGGTAGTCCTCGTCATCACGCTGACGAAGATTGAACCGTGGCTCCGGGTCAGCCAGCGAATATCTGGCAACCCGGAGCAGCCAGACTCGGAGGACACGATCTCTTCTGGTAAAGGGAACCGACGCGTAGACGGATTTTCTTTACCGCTCTACGATACAAGAAGCTTTATTAGCTCTGTCTCTGGCTCTATATGCTTTCATATGCTTAATTTTTTTCTTGCATACGATTTTCGTTTCTGTAATGAAATAAAGATACGAAACTGTACCCCGTCATTCGATTGTTATGCACAAGCATGCTACTACTGACGTGCCGAAGATACGAGGTCGATCATTATCTTTGGTTGTGATGTTAAAAGATAGATACGGACAAGTAAGCGAGCGAGTTATTCATGTAATTATTGTGCCATCGAAGGGGACGCAGGGCATTCATACCCGTCCTTTCATCTACGCACAAGTGCGAGGGCTCCTAGCTACGGTGAAAGAAAATGTGTATTATTACGAGTATGAGACACAAGGAACAAGAGTCGATTGCTGATTAAGCTAAAGCACTTGTGGATACAGTAGCATCGTCGCTGGAGGTATAGCGAAAAGGGAGAAAATGTTTTCAGGAGATCACTGAAAGGGAATGGAAAAAAACCCAAAAAATATAAAATTAACTGAGAAAAATCAAAAAGCACATCTCAAAAGTCGCTCGAAGAAGGTGATTGTCATGGTGACAGTAAAATAAAAGAATGCAAAGAGCATCAATGTTAACGATCGACTCGTACATTTAGGATTACACATAGCAGAAGAGAAAAAATGAAGTATAGATGGCGTACACATTAAACTTTGTAGTGAGCGATCCGGATGCGAAAAACCGATCGCCTTTATAAATGATAATCAAAAGTGCAACCAAGAAGAAACGTACATGTGATAAAAGGTTTTCTTGCCGTCGCACGTATATTATACAAGTAATTGAAAGAGAAAAGGAAAATCCGAGATATAGGATAAACGGAGGGCGATTTAGACTGTTTTCTACTGATATTTCAGAACAACAAAAATTCTGCTCGTTATGAAATAATCATAGGTCTCAATCCAAAACCTACTATAAAAATATCAAAGTCTAAGGATTAATTGTAAAATTTTAAAAGGCATATACCATGCTAATTATTGATAAGATCATAGACTCCCAGTAAAATTGCTTGAGAAATTAATGGCTTTCGTGTAGAAATAACTTGTGAAATTAGAAAATTTTTATGTGAGCCATATGTATCATTTATATAAGAAAAATTCTAATACAAGATTTTTCAAAAGTTAAATAATCTTTCAGATTTTATCATCAATCAAACGAAATATAATAAAATGATAAAATTTCAATACGAATAGACATATAAAATTTTCTCCATCGAGTAGTAAATCTTGTTCCTAAACTTACTTAGTATATCTGAAAAAAACAAATAGAAGGCTAAATAGTCTCCTTTTGTGGATACGTACAAGAATAAATTTACCGAGAGTAAAAACTGCTTACATCTGATTTGCAGCGTTATATATATTATGCACGTTATATATCATAAACGTATATGTATACGTATGCAAATTTGAGTTGCCACTAAACGGATCTTTAACCGTTTGTCTATGCGCTCGGACCGTCCTGTCTCCTTTTTCTATTGATGGCACAATCCTCACCGACGTACACACATTGTCGGAATTTTTTGCAATACTTATTTAGTCTTGATATTATACCAATTTATCGTGCAAATCTTACAAATCAAAATTTATTGACAACCTATCATGTAATTTACATTTTAATAATACATGCTGTTAAACTCTTGATATGAATTATGTATATTTTAAATAATTGTTAATTATTTCATATTATTAATACGTGCAAATAATTTAAATTATATTTTAAAAGTATAACAAAAATAATATTAAAAAAATTTTTTATCCAAAATCAGTGGCACTAACAATTTGCATAATTTAATTAGATTATGTTCGAAGACTAATTAAAACAATACCAAGATTTTAAAAAATATAGTTCAAAAATTTTTTTCTTGTACATTCATAATATAATGAAACATTCAAAATATCATTCAAAATAGATATCGTGTATATACTTTTTAATACTATAAAGAGAAACGATTAATGCAAAATATGTTAATAAATGGGGGACTTTAAGTGTTACACATTAGGTTATCAGTAATTCAAAATTCGAAGAAAATAAAAAGAGAAAATTCCGAACAAAGAACAATCACGATGTTTTTGTACGTATATAAATACTTAGAAAAATTAACTTTTTGTATAAGTTTATTAAGCTCTTGGATATTAAGAAGTAAAAAAAAACATAAATCATGAAAAAAATAGCAATAGGTGGGATGAATAACAGATAAAATGGATAGTGATAACAAAAATTGAACAAAGCACATAATTTCACTGAATAGAACAACTACAAATGTTGTAAAAATGTTTGGATATTTAAATCCAATGTTACTTTTTTATGTTACAAAATTTATATTATTTATATCACACGATATCTTTCAAATTTTTTTCTTTATTTTTTTTTATATTTATAATAATTATTATGTGAAATTATATTTTATATTCATAATTTTATCTATCCATAATATTACCGGCAGAATTATTTTTTCTTTTCAAAATGTAACAATAAAAATACTATAAAATTAGATAATGAGATTGATATTTAACTTTTTTTTATTTTTAATTTTAACGTAATGAATTTTTAAGGTTTTGTAAAGATTTTGAACCTACATTTTATTGTACATAAATTAAATTAAAAAAAAAGTGTTTTAGTAGATGTATTTTAGATAAATTAATATAAAAATTGAAAATTGTTTCATTCGGTGTCTTAGAATTTTTCATGTCCAATAAACAGGGCTTGTTAATTTGGAAGAGCGATGATGATGTTAATAATGACGTAATATAATGGCGTAAGAAACGTCAGGAAGCTTGATGTGATATATAATACTTATGTGCCAAATAGCGTTTTTCCTTACGTCATCAGGACAAAACGAAGTCATTTCGCCTGCTTTCGTATCGCCTTGTTTTCAGTTATCTCCTCTTGCCTTACTTCTATCTTCTCGAACAGAAAAAGCACAGAAAAATAAGACAAAATGAAAAACATACTATTTCTGATCGTTATCTCTTTCTACTCCTTTGTCCTTCTCTCTCTCTCTCTCTCTCTCTCTCTCTCTCTTTTTCTCTCTCTATTGTCCTCTCTTGTGACCCACTATCTCAGTCTCACTCACCCTCAATCCTTCAGCCTGTCTCTATGTCTGTCCTTTTAAGGCCTCAAATAGCTGTCGATTCACTTCGCATCTTCCTTAGTTTATATGTAATCAGTGCAATTATAGAATAAAGAAGGTACCTAATATAATTTTTACAAAGAGAGCCAGTATCCTTGATCAGATAATATGGAAAAGCCTGTCACGGTTTGGCCAATTCATAGTGATGATCATAGCGATAAGAGGAATGATAAAAAAGCGAAATGAAAAAAGAGGATAGAAAAAACAAAAAACGCCACCAGCGTTAAGTGGCAGACGAATAGTTTAGATGTTGATACTAATTTATTTTATGTATATAATGGATTTGTACAATGGGCTACGGCTGACGCCCTACGCGACTCGACTTTAATAATGATGAATAAAAAGTAAGGAAAAGAGATAACGCCGACGTAGCAAGCGCGTCGATATTACTATGATTAATTAATGTACAGTGTAACTATATTACTTGTGATGTACCTATACGTAGTTGTATGTGTAAAATTATTCGAGGAGTAAACCTTATAAATTATACGTACATACATGCATGCATACGTATTAATAAACACGCATGCATATATATGTATATACACAGGTAGAAAATGTATATATATATATATATGCATATACATATCGTTGTTCATTATATGACAAGAAATATTATTACTTATATTGTCATTATTATTGGCTCTCATAAATGGTTATTATTTTATTATTATTATAAAATTATTATTACTATTATTATTATACTATTACGTCAATTATCGTCATTATCGATACCATTTTATTTTTATTTTTATTTTTATAGAAATTAAGGTTAAATGTCCCTAGCAAATAGCAAGCGATTATACGTAAGTGCCAGTCTTATTATAAACGGCGGAATCGAATAATTACCACTCGAATTTCCGACACTTTCTTCTGCATTACTTATATTTTAATCGAATGAAACTATTGTATGCCGTACGATTTATGCACGGGCTAAAATTAAATTTACTATAGTCTTATATTTTTATGATTTAAATTTAATTTTGAATTAAAATTTGCATTTTTATTTACTTAATTAACTTCAGTAGCAGGATATAAATAAAGTTTTATAACCTTTTAATATAACTTATTCAATTCTTACTGCAAATATTAAATTGAAGTTTAATGAAATATATGATCGTATTTATATAATATTTTTTAAACGTTAATATTAAGTAATGTTTAAAATAATAAATTTAAAAGAGAGCCTTTACACAGATATTACGGCATATTTCAATTGTTTTATTCAATGGTTTTATCCGACACTGTTTTTGACTTATTATATATTTGTATATAACATTTATAAGTAAGTCGTGTAAAGTATATAACAGTTTCAAAATTATAAACTTTGGACAGATTCTCTATCGCCAGTCGTAATTTCCAAAGACCAGTCCTGTCGTGAGGATATTATTATAATTGTTTATGAGAATTTTTATTATACTTAAATTATGAAAAGCGATATAGATGAATTTTTGTAAAAACACAGACCTGTTTGATAGATTTTAGGAAAAATGAGATTTACATTTTAGATTTCAATTTCTATTTGAAAGTTATTTTTTGATTAAACTATTAGCTGACATCTTAATGCGAATAAATTTTTTTTATATATTTGTTTCAGTTACCTTTTATTTTTATATTCGAAGTTTTTATGATTTTTTAATTAATAAAATACTACATATGCATAACACAGTACTATTATGTTTTCAAGACTTTTCAATTATAGATAAAATTTTTGAGCATCGCCTAGAATTTATAAACTATATTTTACTACATAGTTTCTTATTAATCTGTACTTTTGCATACATTCATCTTTATTAAAAATTGCATAAATGAAAAGCGGTAAGGAATAATCGATGAGCGAAAAACCTGTTAATTTTGCATTTTATTATTTTCTATCGTTTTTTATAATGTTGTCCCTTGATGTGCCATATAATTCATCCTCCTTTTATTTTATTACTATTGATCACATGTCAAAGTTCAAAAATACAAATGAAATCAATGAAGACATGAAAGCATTTTTTATGCTGATGATATAATGACATTCACGTTAATCATCTTATATCAAGTAAAAAGCTTGTTTTTCACATTTCATGGCACGTTCATTTTTTTTATTTTCTTTATTTTGGCTCTCTTAGAATGAATAAAAAATATTTGTAATTATTCAGTAGTCAGTGAACATTCAATAGTTATAATATTGACTATACATCTGCTATCTCTGAACTCAAAGTTGTATAAAAAGTGAATTATAGTAAAGAAAGAAATATTTACAATTGTAAATCAAGTTTACGCATTAATATTTCTGCAATGATACATCCAATACATTATTAAACGAATAAAGAAAAAAAGAGAAAAAGAAATGATAATACATACAAATACGAACTAATAAGCAGTTCTTTCAATATTCCACGCATTTCGCTACTTCATTTACATGTACGTTGTTGTTAATAAATATAAAAAACTACGAAAAAGTATAATAAAGTATGCTGCTTTACCGAAAATTTTCATAGTTTTTAAGTAATACATACGATGTTACTTCTAGGGACATGTACGGTATGATAAAAAATAAAAAATGTGTATATATTTGTCCAGAATGATGAATGTGAGCAAATGTATGAATGGTATCATTTTTAAAGCGGCCAAACCATGGATATTCTCATGGGCACCTTAACATTTATTTCACATTTCATATTTTTATGTTTTAGTAATTTAAGATAGTCTTGGGTTTTATATCGAATACTCGAATGCAATCAAAAATATAATCAAAAGAAACTAAGGAAAGCAAATGTTTTCTTATTGCGATGGTGCTTCACTCATGACTATAAAGCTCAACACGAGTGTGAGATTATATTTAGTTTATTAAAGGTGAGATATCAAAGGTATTAAGGGTCTTTATTTTTTTAACGTGTGAATAAGAAGTGTTAAGGTGAACCGCAAAAAATAAAACAAACTGACATATATTATGTACTGGAAAAGCCACGACTAGGAATCGTTCATTCATTTCCATTTTCTCGTGTTCAAGTATATTATGACATCTTTAACTCAGTGCCACATATGTATATTCGTACACAAACACTGATCCCAAAAATATTTGTACTGATTACATAGTCGCAATCAACATGTGCATATCAAATTCCGACAGTACACACGCGCAAGTTGGCTGTGAATAAATTTTTTTTATTAATTTCATACTTATAATTTCTAATATCTGAAATATTAAATGAAGATACGAAAAATAATAAATAGATAACCGCCATCGTTAAGAAATCACGCCGAACGAATAAATCGCAACTCTAAACGTTGCTTAGTATAACTTTTCTGTGAATTTCTGTACTAAAATATAAAAGAGAAAAAAGATTATGATCCTGGATGTGACTTTTCCTCGAGAATAGTGACATCAACAAAACGTACTGTATCACTAGAGAACAGCACTATTATAAACATAGATATATCATTATATTTATTATAATAATTTAAAAGTTAGGTACTCTTTGTTGTTTGTATTTTACAAGCATATTCATTATTATATATAAATAAATATCTATATAAATATTTTGTGTTTTCTTCTTTTTATAAATACTATGTTAATACCTACGAGAAACAATATATAAAAAAGTATAAATTCAAATCATCTATGATAACGTATATACATTTGTAATATGAATAAGGTTTCATCTATAGAAAATTCATTAGCCCCTAATTTTTTAATTCTTTCTTGTACTTTCTCCAATTGAAGCTTTTCCGATGGAGTCATCATTTCTGCAATCTGTGAAATATAAAAATTTAATAAAAATCCATGTTGTAATAAATGAAATTTAAACATACTTCTGCTAATTGTTCTTCAGTCGCCCCGTGTTCCTTCATATTGCTAGTCAATGTTTGCATTCGTAACTGTTTATCAATCATTCGTTTATTACTATTTATTTCATAGTCTCTTCTTTGAATAATATTGTAAAGTGCATGATAACAATGTTCAATTGTCATTCTTGCTACTTGATTAAGATCAATATGAAATAGAAAAAATATTTTTGTTGGTGCAGTAGATAATCCTGGTTTTTTTAATTCTTGAATTTGCAAATAATTTTCTTCTAAAAGAGTATATGTTAAATGTTTTGCTTCCTTTGCTGGAATCATTGCTATTTGTTGAATTTTCTCTTGTTCAATGTACTTGTGTCGATGCACCAATCTAATAAATTAAAATATTTTTATATATATTTATATATATACTTTCAAATTTAATTAATTTAAATTACCTGAAAATTCTTGCTGCTTTTAAACCAAATCTTTCCATTACTATATTTTCTAATACTACCCAAGTTAATTGATGAAATGCTTCTTTCATATTAACACTATACTGTCCCCCACCAGAATCACCAACTCGCTCTATAAATTTACTTGAATCTTCTTCTAAAATTCATTGAATATACAACAAATAAATAGAAAATATATAAATTGTAAATCATAATTATAAACAAAAAAAATTAGGATTTGCCTATAATTCGTAGATATTGGTCAAGATATGGTAAAATTGATGGAAAGTTCTTCTTCATAGCTTCTTTTATTTCAGTTACTGGTATGGGAATTGAAGTATCAGCCCAGGATGCAGTCCGTAAATACATAAGATACAAAAGTTGTCTCATCAATTCCCCAGCATTATCATCTATTCTTTTAGCTATTGACTTTACAAGAATTTGATCTCTATAATCAAAAAACCATCGATTAATAATTAATTTGTGCTAATAAATTTTTATTTAATGAATATGTTACGTTAAATTACCTTAGATCTTGTGTAAATCTATCATTATTTATTTTCCAATATATATTATTATCTCCTGCATCTACTTCATTACCTTGAATTAGTCTTGTAAGAGCTTTAACGTTAAGTGATGGCATATTGAAATCTGGTTTATCAGTTGGAACATCGCTTAAAGTATTAGAACAAAGACTGCGCATTAAAAATTGATTTTTAACTAATAAATCAAATTTCTCTTTTAAAACTGGTACAGTTGATCTTCTTTCGGCTGAAATTATTATAAATTAATTTTACTAAATTAAAAATTGATTGTGAAATTATCTATAATCTAAAAGATGTGTATGGTATACGTGGAAATTGTTCGAGTCTTTGATAAGTTTTAACTATTATTTGTGAAGCTCTTTCATAACCATTTTTCAGGACATCTTCCAACATCATTTCTGCTTCGTCTCCACAAAATGTTTTTACAAAATACATGTATCTAATAAATAAAATAATATTTTGTTACTATTATTTGATAAATTTATTATTAAAATATCAATAACATCATACCTTGGATATCTCAAAATTGTTATAACTTTCTCAACATCCAATGTATAAACTATACCACGATCAGTTTGTTCATATACAACATAACCAAATTTTATAAGTACACATAATGATTCTTTAATCTGAAATAGTATAATTAATAAAAGTATAAAATTAAGCATCTATTTTATTATATATAAATTTTTAAGATCATACTTTTGATATAGGATGTTTTGTTGTCACTTTCATTTGATTTAATGTTCTTGGTCCATGTTGAAACATATCACTAGCAACAGTTTGAATAATTAATCCAAAATGTTCAAGCAATAAATTTTTACATAGCTTTTCAAAAATTAACGACATAGTAAAAAATATTTTTAAATATTTCTGGCTACATCTATGGTTAAATGATTAAAAAAGCAATATTTCTTATTTCAACAATATTAAACGAATTGATATAAAAAGTCAAATTCCAAAAAAGATTATTTAAATTCCCATAAATCGCACTCATTTTTTTACAACACTTTTTAAAAATATTTTAACAATAATATAACATAAAATATTGTTTATCTCTTTTTTCATATACTAATTGTTACACAGTAATTTTGCCGGTTTTCACCATATAATTACAATTTATTTGGCGTATTAGCAGTTTATTAACAGTATCCAAGTTTCATTGCTCCAACAAGTATATCGTGTGACCGATAGATTACGCTATAATACCACCGCCAAAGTTCATGTTGGAATAAGTTAACGTTCTAACTGGTTGCATAAATGAGTTTCTAATTTCTAGGCTTATACGAAATAATTCTGTTCTGATCGATTAATTGGTTATGTGGCCCAGAACTCGTATCTTGCCATTGCGGTTTATGATAGATTATAAACAGCTGTCGTATGTACACAAATAATTAAACAATCTAATTCGTTGGAAAAATAAAGATTTGTTTCATACGATCTCTAATGATTATAATTGTTGAATAATAACAAACAAGTAAACAGGTTGTAATAGATTTTATCACTGATAACTGATCATAGGAACGCTTAATACAGTGTGGTTAGTCTATAGTTTTGTCTATACAATCAGATATTAATCTTATCTTCATTTACAACAATTTACATCAATCTGTTAAAAATAGGAGCTACCAAATAAAGATTATTTTTTTAATGCTATTAAAATATATTAATTCAACTATTTACTTGAAATAAATAAGATTTGTAATATATTTCAATATATGCTCTTTTAGTTCAGATCACATAAACAAACATCACATACATATAACCTGAAAATTCTCATTTCCTTTTCTGATTTAAAAAATATATTGTAAAAATAAAATTACGATAAAAAATCACCGAATAATTTTATAATAAAAATATGAAGTTGCTGAATTAATCTGTTATAATTACATTACATCAAATTATATGTGTACGTAAAGTGTATTTGTAAATAATATTGCCCAATAATATTTATTTATACAATTTCGTAATAAACTTATACTTTAATAAATTAAATTACATAATTTATTTACAATCAAAAATATTAAAAATAACTTTAATTTTATTCTTATCTTTTTGAACAATAATTTTATTAAATACTAAAAATGTTTACAGGAATTTGCAGTTTTATAATAAAATGTAAAATTTTTGAGTTTGAAAATGTTGAACGAAAGTTGTTAATAAAAAAGAAAGGTAGATATATTTATTACCCAAAAGAACTATAGCGCTTTTTAAGTATACGCGGCGCTAGCCATTTCCGGCGGAACAGTATTATAATTATTTGCGAGAGCGATCACGTGATCTAAAATCGAGTTCTTCGTTTGCGGCCACGAGGTTTTGTGTGGTGAAAATTGAGTTTACCGGGTGGAAAAGCACCTCGATTTTTGTATTTATACAAAAATGCCCTCCAGCAATCCTCTTCCGCCCAAAGAAAATGCATTGTTTAAGAGAATTTTGGTGAGTACGTATTTAGTGAATTTTTTATTTTGGAGTCCCACTCTCGGTCCCCCGGCTTAGAGTTGTAAAGAGTGATTCTGATGAAACATTCCCCATACAAAAATCGAAAAACCTCAATGGCAATCATCTTCGATATCGGTTAACCTCAATTTTTTCTATTGTTATCATCATTAAAGTTTTGAAAAATAGAATATTACTTCTCATTTAATTTTAAAATGTAATTATTATTTGATATTGGCGAAGAAGCATAATATTTTGTATTTTGCGTGATATGTCTTTCAATTACTTTGAATTTTTCTAGAGGTGTTATGAGCACAAACAGTATAAAAATGGCTTGAAATTTGCCAAGCAAATCTTGTCAAACACCAAGTTCAGTGAACATGGAGAGACTTTGGCGATGAAAGGTCTCACACTAAACTGCTTAGGTCGCAAGGAAGAAGCCTATGATCATGTACGTCGTGGCCTTAGAAATGACTTACAATCTCATGTTTGTTGGCATGTTTATGGGCTGCTGCAAAGATCTGACAAAAAATATGATGAAGCAATCAAATGTTATCGAAATGCTCTCAAGTGGGATAAAGACAACATTCAAATTCTTAGAGATTTATCCTTATTACAAATTCAAATGCGTGATCTAGAAGGTTATAAAGTAAGTGGCATCATTTTTTAAAAGTTATATCATATTTCATATATGTTAAAAAATCTTCAACTAAAATGTATGCATGCATTTAAATGTATTTAACGTATATGATTTATACAAATAGAAAAAATGAAATATTGCATATGCAAAAGATAATTTTTATTTATAGGTTATATTATATTATTCTCAACTATTTGTTAAAAAATACTTAGAATTGTTTAATTTATATTTATATTTATAATTTTTTATGTAAATGATATATTTTTTAATATTTTAAGTGTTTAGGTTATTTTATTTTTATAAAACTGATAATTTTCTATTAGTGGTTAATAAAATTAAATAATAAAATTTACATACAAAATTGACTTAAAGGTAACAAAGAGGAATATATACAGTTTTTTAAATCATTAAATTTTAAATATAATAAATGGAAGGATGCATGAAATATAAATCAATTCTTGTCTAATATATATATGAATTATTAATTTTTGATTATAAAAAATAAATTTACCATTAGTTTGTTATGTAATACAAAATTGATGATTAAAATGTTTTTTTATTAATAGTTTAAATATTATAAATTGTAATATTTATCCTTTTTACATAAAATTGTTAATTTAATTCAATTATAAAAATGATTAGTTTTTAAAATTTGTATTAAATACTGATTTCCTTTTTAATTATTATTTCAAATTTATATAAATTATTTTCATTGAATAAATAATTTATATAAGTATAGTTTATATAAATATAAAAAATAGTTTCATAAAAGAGACCACATCCTTGATAGAACAGATATTTGTAAAAGAAAATTAATAAGAATGAAGCTACTTTTATTATGTGAATATTAGTACAATAAAGGAATATAAAATATTTTAAATCCATTAATAATAATTCAATCAAGAAAAAATTGATTTACGTATAATTCATATTCATATAAGAAATAATTTGATTTGATTAAGATAAACAGTTTTTAAATATCAATTTTTAAATTTAGTTGAATTAGAAGTTGTTACTATATTTAAAATCTTATTTATCAGTGGATAACTATTTATTTAATAAATAATTTATTTTATAAATAATTTACATTTTAGTTTATCCATATTTATCTAAATATATAATACATAAAATTTGATGTTTAATAATAATAGTTAAGGATATATTAATTTATATTAAATATTATGATCTTTAATATGTGTATAATATTATTAATATATTATGTATAATATATATATATATATATATAATATATAATATATAAGTAGAACATAATTTATGAAATATTATATAAAATTCTAAATACAAAGTTATCACAATAAAAAATTCAAAATTTATAAGTACAGTTTTCATAATTAGAAAGTATGGTTATGTTTAGAACTTTGCCTTATATAAATATTATAAAGTACAAGGCTTTAATTGATCTTCTATTTTATAATTTTTATTATAATGATTACATTGAAGAAAAAACTTTAATTTTTTTAAAGTTATATAGTTACAACCTATATAATAAAATATGTTCATCAGGAAAGTATCTACACATGCACTCACACTCACTCACAGACACTCCACAAAAACTAAGTACATAAATACTTTAAATATTAATACTTATATTACAGGATACAAGGTATCAGTTATTTATGTTAAGACCAACACAAAGAGCATCTTGGATTGGATTTGCTATATCATATCATCTTTTAAAAGATTATGAAATGGCCCTTAAAATTTTAGACACATTTAGAAATTCTCCAATGGTAAATAATATAATTATATTATATATGTATTTGATGAAATATTTACAGTAAATATATTTGTATTGATTATTAGTTAAAAGTCTTATTGTTAATGCAGCTTTTTACTGCAAAATAGTTTTGTAAAGTATGAAGTTCTTAGAATAAATATTAAATATGCCTAGATATGCTACGATTATGAACACAGTGAATTGCTACTTTATCAAAATCTGGTTATTCAAGAATCAGGGGACAGTGAACAAGCATTAAAACACCTTGACAAACACTGCGAGCAAATATGTGACAAGATTACAGTAAAAGAAACTTATGGTATTTATTGTTATGGTTTATATTTTATTAATACATAGTACTCAAATATTAATCAATTATTTTTAATCTAAAGAATTATTTATAATAATTTAAAAAATATACTCTATTATTTTTGGTTTTATTATTTAATTATATTGTTAAATTTATGTATTTGCATTACTAAATTAATATAAATTATTTTTTTAACAACAATAAAGTATTACTATATCTTAATAAGTTTCTTTTTATACATGTGCAGTGATATACAATATCAATATGATTAAAAATATTATTATAACATTTAAACGTGCTATTACAAATGTTGAAAATTAATTTAGAAATATATATTTATATAGTCAACCAAAATGTAGTACACGTGAAGTTTTTCATAAATATGTAATAATTGTACATTATAATTGTACATATGTCACAATAAATTAAATAGTTTAATATGAATTAGCATTGTAATACCCTTAATAATAGCATTAAGTACTATGAAATAATGTTTAAATGCTTGTTTCTTCAGGTAAATTAAGACTTGAATTAGGACAATATGCTGAAGCAGCACAAGTATACCAAGATCTTTTACATATCAATCCTGAAAATACATTATATTACATGAAGTTATCAGAAGCTCAGAGACATACTAATGCTGAAGAAACATTAAAAATGCTTGAATATTGTGAAACTATCTTTCCTAGAGCATTAGCTCCTCGACGCTTACAACTTAATTATGCCTCTGGAGAAAAATTCAAAGAGTTGGTTGACCGTTATTTACGAAAAGGTAATTAATAAGGATATAACTTTAAACAAATACTGATCATCCATATAGAAGAGAATAATTGTTATTTAGTTAAATTTAAAATGAGGTTTTTATTTAATTTAATTTATTAGGAATTAAATATGAAATGAACGTTATAAAATTGTTTACATTTAAAATTTATTTACGATTGCTAAAATGCGATAATATTTGTTACAGGTCTTCATAAAGGTGTGCCACCTTTGTTTGTTGATTTACGTTCTTTATATACAGATCAAAATAAGGTTGATACTATACAGTCCTTAGTCTTACAATATAAAGATGCATTAAAGGCACATGGGCATTTTAGTGATGAAGACAAAGATAAACCACAAGAGCCTGCTTCAGCACTTTTATGGAATTATTATTATATTTCTCAACACTACGATTTCTTAGGTTGTACACAAAAAGCACTTGACGAAATTGATGCTGCTATATATCATACTCCTACACTTATTGAACTTTTTGTTACCAAAGGACGAATTTACAAGGTAAGGATCGAAAATTTCATATATTTGTTTTTACTAATAAAATAGACACTAGTCATTAGGTTGTCAAAAAATTAAAAATTTAATGTATTAAACTTAAAAAAGTTTGTTAAAAAATTTTAGTATTAATAGAATATTTTTACAAGATTTAGAATTCATGGATTTTCAATTTATTAACATTAGGAGTAAATAATCAAATTTTTGCTCATTAATTTTTCTGTATAAATTATAATTTTATACGAGAATTTTTGTAATTAATTAATTAATTAACTATTGTAGCATGCTGGAGATGTTCAAGAAGCTTATAAATGGCTTGATGAAGCACAAGGCTTAGACACTGCTGATCGTTACATTAATTCAAAATGTGCTAAGTATATGTTACGTGCAAACTTAGTAAAAGAAGCAGAAGAAACTTGTGGCAAGTTTACAAGAGAGGGTGTTTTGGCAATGGAAAATCTTAATGAAATGCAGTGTATGTGGATTCAAACAGAAGCAGCAAATGCGTATAAACGTTTGGGAAAATATGGTGAATCATTAAAAAAATGTCACGAAGTCGATAGGGTAAGTTAAATGAAACAATAAATTTTCATTTGATAATGATAAATATTACGATTTTGAAGTGTTATATATATTGAGTTTTCTTATCTATTTTATCACTTAAGACAATATATTTAAAGACAATAAAATAATGAAATATTATATTTTGTAAACTTTCGATTATAATAACGTAGAAATAAATATTTTAATATTTATAAAACCAATTAAATACAAATTTATATTTACAATTATAATTTTTCGTAAAAGCCATGTAACTAATCCATAAATGTATTTTATTTGTTCTAATATTTACATATTCTTATTTTATTTACTATTCATTTAAAATTTTTAATTAAGTAATAAATAAATGATCATTGTGTAACCCTTTTTAATTTAGAATTTAAAAGGAATTACAATTATAATAAGGCAATGATAAAAACAATAATTTATAATAATATAATTTATAATAATAATAGAATCCTTTAGATTGTCTTTATTGAATTGTTTGTTTTAACAAATTATAACAATTGTACATTACTATTATATTTTTATTTTCAATCATATTTATTCAGTGCCAATTATCAAATTTAAAAAATTTTATATTTTAAATTTTCAAAAATAAAGAATTATATTTATCATATTATAGCATAGAAAATATTTATATAACTTTCGAAATAATTCCTTTTTATACATTTTATCAAATTATCCAAACAATGAATAAAAGACAAAAACAGAGAGAGAGAGAGAGAGAGATAGAAGTATATAGTATACATAAACACAAAGAAGACACTTACATAAAATGCACTTATGATATGCATGTTAAATATTGATTTACAAATATTAAAATTTTTTAGCACTTTTCGGAAATAATTGAGGATCAATTCGATTTTCATACCTACTGTATGCGCAAAATGACTTTACGTTCCTACGTGGGCCTCCTGAGGTTAGAAGATGTGTTGCGTTCGCATCCATTTTACTTCAAAGCAGCAAAATGTGCAATAGAAGTTTATCTTCGGTTACACGATTATCCATTACCAGATCCCACGAAAACACAAGAAATCGACACTGGTAAGTTTAAAAATATTTTTTTATTTATAGATATTAATCTACTAAATTTCATTAAAATTGAGCTACGAAGGTGATAATTTATTACAATACTTTCCATATAGTTACATTTAGAATAGGAATACAAATAATAGGATACTTTATTTTCAATTTATTATATTAATTAATAATTATGTATTTTGCATATTTTAATTTCTTGGATCTATATTTTCCTATAATAATAAGATTGATTTAATCAATCAGTCATTCATACTTTTATTTAAAAATTATTCTTTATCATTCATCTATGCCATACATAATGCGATTACAGTATGCAATATTTATTTCAAACTTTAGTCAGAGTGTGAAGTAGGACACCACGAGGTACATGTACATGGTCTTTTTCTAAATCTTCAAATGTGATTCTACATTGATATTTATATACACTTCAATCATTAATCACAGACAAAGGCGTAAATAAACGAGTCAGTTTCTAGCTTATGAATCGTTAAATTGCAGTTAAATTGCAAATGCATACATACATACATTAATAGTATTTAATTTAATACACTGTATATACAAGTAATAAATATGCTCTATTGGCATGCTCTCTTTGGGCATGGCGAGATATTTTAAGCGTCCATTTCATCTGAACTTCAAAAATATTCTACATGGCATCTTTGCCTTGTTATAGACATAATTTACAATACTTTTTTTCAATTTATTTGATTTACGTATGCAGCAAACAAGGATTTTTTAAGAATTTTTTAAGAAATTAAATGTAAATTGCAGTATAGTTATACAAATCTTTACATCTCTTAGTTTTACATGTTTTATATTCTAATAATTGTTACTCTAAGAGTTTAAGATTTATATTTTCGATTCAATTTATGGAAGCTTTTGTATCACTTATTTGAGTATTATTATAGTTTAAAGCCTCAAAAACGTAGATATTGCAGATTTGAAAACTTCAAAAATCTCAACATTTTATAAATCCTAGTTAGTTGCATTAGCGTTTGAAAATAAAAATTATTTCAGAATAAATTATTTAGCTCAACGGCGCCTTTTTTCGAGTAATCTAGATCTTGGCTTTGAATACAGGTATCCTCCAGTAGAATCTTCTCGTCTAATAGCTTGAGGCGTTAGAAAATAAAAATGCCCTCCATCTCCAGGTAATCTATATGCAAAGTATGAATTAGCTTTATTAGTATTACTGTTTACGTGACCCTGTATTTTTCTGTCAATAAATTCAGAATCCAGATTAATTGGTGGCCGAGAATTTTTATAATTGACTAAGATGTCGCTTTCCAGTGAAAGAGGTCGTGATGAATATTCGGTTTCCTTTATTTCTTCCTGTTGTTCATCGTTAGGTGTGAACGAATTCGCTGTATCTTCTTGTGGAGTTTGTAGTTGCTGCTCTAATCTATCACTTCCGTAATTTTTAGTTTGATCAAAGCGTTGTGGGACATTCTGCGCAGGCGATAATACATACTCTCGAACTTGATTTCTCAATTTTAGTACGGACTGAGGCCTAAATTTCGGAGTAACTGTATTAGACTGCTGATTAATATTTACCAACGAAATAAAATTACTGTTAGGATTAAAAGTCGGTAATTGTGGTGAATGTTTAAAGTTTACAAGAATATCATCTTTGCCAACAAATGGACCAGGCGTTTGATCGCCATATCGTACCTTGATATTAGAAGCCTTAAATGGCTTAGTTTCTCTTCCATTGTATTGTCTCGACTCGTAGTCGTTAACATTACTAAATATTGGTTTGTCTGTTACGCTTGATTTACCATAAATAGGTGTGGTTGATAGCTTATTATTAGATAATTTTTTACCAAATACGGTAAAGTATTCTTTTGTTACATCATCAAGTAACTGCTCATCTTGTTTAGTGAAATACTGCTGATGTGATGCAAGCGTAGTGATTTGCAATGGTGTGGCTGTCGTCGGTCGATGATAATGGGATTGCTGTTTATTTTTTTTACCTCTTACGTATGAACTTTTCTGAATTTGTACTGGCTGTTCAACCATCACTTCACTGTTTTCATAATCATATTGATCGTTTATAGTTTGAATATATGGATAATCATTATACAAAGGTACTTCTTTTTGACGACGATATTCATGAATTTTCTCCTGATGAATATGGGAGTTTTGCTGTTGTTTAGGAATTGACGATTTTTGAGTCCAAGTTCCTGCTCTTGATTTTTCATAATTAGTAGCTTCAAAACTATATTGATAAATCGGCTTAGACTTACTTGAACTTGGTTTATGCTCAATGATTTGCGGCTTTCGATAGTATGTTTTAGGCTTTTGAGTAGTAAAATAACTCAGTTTGGGTGCTGATCGTGTAGAAAGAGGTTGATAGTATATTGGTATCGAATGTAACGTCCGAAGACTCTGCTGTTTAATAGATGGAACTTCGAATTTTTCTTGACTGCTTGTTATATCAGAATCTACATATCGGTACACATGTGGATCTTTTCTGATTGAATCTATTAGTTTCACATTATAATCTTTGGTTATTTCTTGTGATGGAATCATTTGGACATCATAATATTCATTTTTACTCTTTTGTTGCTGTTGCGGTTGTTGTTGTTCATGTTGCTGCAGTTGCTGCTGTTGTTGTTCCTGCTGTTCTTTTGATTGCTCGAGCTTGTAATATGGAGGTGTCTCAGATGTAGTGCTGAAAAATACAAGTGGGCCAGAAGTAGGAGTATGTGTTTCTTTGCTATTACTTTCATCATAAAAATAATAAGATGCTTGGCTAGGAATGCGTGTTGGATTCTCAGTTGTCAATGTAGTATTGATAGCTGTGGGCGTTGTCTCAATGGTTTGTTCAACTGAGATATCTGTCGTCGTAGCAAAAAATGTTATAAGTGGAACTGCTTTATTGTTAATTATAGTTTTCCACGGCGTTTTTTCCGTGCTGCTTTCTACAACCTGGTTTCCAAGTATTTGTTGCATATTATACTTTTCTAAGCTCGATATTGTTGTAGAATTGATTGATATGGGTGTTGTAAATTCAATGAGTGGCATTGTTCGATAATTTCGAGTTGCAGTTTTTTCTGATTGATAATTGTGAAACGTTGAGTTCTTCAACGTTGTTCTAATAAAGGATTTTGAATTATGTGACATAGTTTTATCTCTATTACTAGTGAGTGTAGCTAGTGGTGTCTTGTAGAGCTTGGTATTAGATTTTCGAGGTGATAAATAAGAGACTCTAAGAGTTGGCATTAGGGTAGTATTCAGATTTTTTACATATTTTTCTTTGGTTGTTGACTTTATTTCATTTAAAGGTGAAAAAAAATCAGGCGGTGGAGGTAAAATAATTCCTGGTACTAATGGTCCAGGTGGAATATTGGTAGAATTATCTTGTGAATAAAGAAAACTATAAGGCGGAGGATAGTAGATGGATTGATCCTCATCATCGTAATCGGTTTGATTGCTCGGTGGTGAGACAATTACTGCACCAGGTGGTAAAGCTGGATAGAATGAAATTGATACATTTTCAGCTTTAGTCTTCTTTTTAGGTAATCCCAACAAACTTGATGTTATCTCATTGCTATTATTTCTCGTACTGGCTATTGGAAAATAAGGTCCTTCGCCAGGTAAAAACCCTGTATAATTACCCGAATGAGCATTAAAGTAGGCTGTTTCATTATCGAATAAATTGGTATCATTAGAACCGATGAGTTCGACAGGTCCATCGTCAATAAGTTGAACAGGGAAAGGAGGTGGCACCCTTGGTTTTGCTGGAATTTTAACTTGTCGTCGTGGTGCTATATAATTATCAATTGGTAGCCATCCACCGGCAGGTTGTTCTACTGCTGTACTTAATTCAGGAAAATTTCCACCCTTCAGTACCAATACGTGATTCTCAGCGAGCCAAATTTCTTCCTCATCTAGACCGCCAAGATTTTTAATGGTATCTTGTGGGACCTCGGAATTGGACAAATAGCTGATAATACCTGGTCGTTTGGGTTTTACTGAATAAATCTCATTCTGAATGAGACCGTACTTACCCTCCTTAACTTGTTGTGAAAGTGTCTTCTTGTCGTCATCTTCGCTATTTGTACCATCAGACAATCGCGACGAAGTTTTCCTTTCTTTCCCGTTTGTAGCTGATGATAAAAGTAAGCCATCTTCGAAACTAGGATCTTCAACGTTCTGAATATTTTGATTTGCTAGTGTACTTGTTATATTTAAAATGTTCTTTATTAGGAAGGGATTACCAAGCAGGACTTCCAACGTCTTTGTAGAAGACTCTGTTGAAGCAAGTTCATTATGTCGGTTTGACAATGGACGAGAAAAGCAAAGTCCTTCATGCTTTTGAATTTGCTGACTAGATGACTGCCTTTTCTGATCAGTACTACTGCAAATTGTTCGCTTTTTACTTAAATCATGCGCCAAAATTGACGAACAAATCATGGCCAATATTAATATGTAAACCCACTTTTTTTGTATATGTTGGTCCATCTGTAATCAAAAGAAACATTCATAGTCAAAAATTTTTTCAATATGTATATTTATATTACTATTATATAATTATGTATAAAATATTTAATTTGCTTAACTTACTTTTTAGCTTAATAATTTATATTATAATTAATTAAATTAAGTTATAATAAAATTTTAAAATGATTCGACTAGTTTGCAATACATGATTTTATTATTTTTTTAAGTTCGTAAATCAACAAAAATCGTAAATCAATATTATGTTTATCAGTCAGAGTATAATATATATAATACATAGGAAAGATATTTTCTCAATAAATAAATTAAATTTTTTATAAGCTTTTTTATATAGAAATACGTCATTATTGAATTTTTTCGAACAAATATACATTTTAATACATTTATGAAAATATATTTTTAATATCAATATAAGCTTAATAAATAAAGCCATTGATTGTAGGGATACATAAAACAAGTACTTAAAAAGAAAATAGTGAAAAAAATTAGATTTATAAATTTTTCTTAATTTTAATCTATAAGCATATAGTCAATTAAATTTTCAATCAAATTTCATTATTATTACTGATAAATTAACTGATAATAAACTGAAAATTGAAAATGAACGTTTAAATATCCTTAAGATAAATGGAATATTTAACATAAATTGTATAATAAATTCTACATATCTTATTAAAAAAATTTGTTATTGTATCAATTATTTATTTAAACGGAAATTTGTTATCTTTTAATTTACATGTACTTGTATATTGTATGTGAGTTCATATAATTAAATACAAATTTTCTTGTAAATATATTTTTAATTTTTAATCGAAGCTAATGAAGTGAAAAATTATATTTATATTTTTTTTATATCTTACTTTATACTTAATATATTTAATTAATGTATTGATTAAGTTAGTGATTACTGATTATTAAACCCGAATTGTACTTATTAAGCTAATGAATATTGTTGCTAAGATGTTTACAATACTTAGAAATCGATTTTTTAGATGATGAAATATGTAAAAAATATAGTAATTATATTACCATTTATAATATATTTATTAAATTTACTGATTATGCACATATAATTTTTGTTACATTTTTTCAGATTATTATAAAACTTGAATATGTAACTATAATTGTAAATTTCTTCCTGCTTGTTCATAAATACTAATAACTACATGACTATATATTTAGTTAACAGTGCTAAAATAGTTTTATTTTGTTTTCAAACTGTTTAAATAACTAAAAATTAATCTGTAATATTTACTAACTATATACAAAACAACTATTTACAAAGTTTTATCATCTCTGAGCTTTTGCAGGCTTCTATTCTTCCTGTTTTTCATCAGTGATAATATGGTGCGTATATCGCGAAATTTTTTGTAATAATAAAACGTAAACATATTTACGTTTATAAATGATTTTTCAATTCATAACCAGATTTTTAGATTTTGTTTTAGTTAAATTGAATAACAATGTTAAAAAATAATTTTTTTAGTTATATTTGAATCTTACGAAATATTAAAAAACGACGAATTCTCTAGATATAATGACTGTTTACTTACGTAATATCTATTGCATTGTAAATATATAATTATTTTGAACAAAATAATTACTAATAAGTAAGATTAAAGAAACATATTTTCAAATGCTTCAAAATACATAAAGATTTTAACAAATATAAAGAAAATATAAAAATATTATCTAATTTTCAATGGTTATATTTTGGAGCGTTGAAATTTTTGATATTTTTAGTATATTAATTGGATTATGATAAATATAAAATATCGATTTTTTCATGAAAATATTAAAAACTTATATTTTGCAAAACGATTCATAAATCATATTTTATAAACTATAAGTTATCAATCAAAAACTTAGTGTGTATGACTGGGATCAGACTAAAAGCCCCCCTGAGATGGTGGGTGGAGGCTTGCTGGCAAGTGGAAGGGGCAATGCAATAATTCAATACTACCTTTAAAGAGTAGAGTCTTTCCGTTTATTGAATATAATAAATATGACAATAGTCAATGATCTATGGATGTCGAAATGAATGTATGATACAATGAATGGATGAGAGTTTCTTCAATTAATATTAGTGACGATAATTCTGTAAGTGTATTCGTGATAGCTTGGAGCTTGATTCTCCTTCTCCTTATGAGTTTTGTAGTAGTAGTGGGAGACTCGTGCTGGTAGGGGCAACGAGTTGGGGCCGCCTTAGCCGCTGGCGTAGGGTAAGCGCTGTCGTGGTCGGGTGGTGGGAGGATGTCCGTGTAACGTCACTGCTTGACGGAGTGGGAGATTCACTCGTATCGTATCGGTGTAACGTGATATAGATAGTGTGCGGTATTAATGTGTGTTCGTAGTGTGTTGCTGCTTACGTAGTTGAAGGAGCCGTGTATTAGCCGATCTCTGTAGTATTAGTAAGACGTAAGAGCATAGCTTACGTACGGGCTGGAGCCGATCTCTGTCGTGTTAGTAAGACGTAAGAACGAGCTTGATGGCGTAACTTATGTGCGGGCTGAAGCCGATCTCTAGAATGATGATCCTGTCGTGATGAATGCTTGATTAAACTAGTAAGAGCAGTAGTAAGGAACGAGCGTGGTACATTGCTTACGGAGGCGTGGGTGCCGGTATAGTTGTGGCATCGCTATTAGTTTTTTCGGTTGCTTGATGCTTGCTATGGCTTCATGATGGCGATTAAAGGTTGGATAGCGAGCCCGATGTGGAGAGCCCGTGATTGGTACTAGCAAGAGCCCCCCTAGAGCGTCAAGCGCAGTTCCTTAAATATCTTAGTATAAGCTTGCGGATCCGGTGACTACCGGTTCACTCTAGCCATGCCGATTGTTAGAGTAGCGTCACTAAAGTCTAGCCTTGGGGAGTTCGTCGGCCTTGTTAGTCGGAATTGTAATGTAATATTCGAATATTTTGCGTAGTGAAACTTTCCGATTTCACAGAATTTTGTTTATGACTCGGCGCGCAAATGTTTCTAAGCACAAGTGTCTTTACCTCTCCCACTTTGTATACCGCTTAAAACTGCTGTAATCCGTAACATTCCGCCTGCCATCATCAATTCATTAATGAGTAGAATTCGTGTCTTCGGTGGGAGCTGGCAGTACTGGTAGAATATGGATTGGTCTAGTGATTGTGGTTGAGTCAACTTGGGCAAGAAATGTGAAGATTTCCTTAAATGTCAATTATCCATTGGTATTCCTTATGTAACTTGGCGAAGCATACCCATTTTTTATGTGATGCGAAATGAATTCCTATTCTTCTTATGCGTGGATAATTCCTTGAGGGAAGGTTCTCGGGTGATTGCGACAAATATCATGCTATCCTTGCCTGGTATGTTTTGTTTCTGTCCCATGTAGCCCTGAGTTATTCTTTCAGTGCCCTTATTGCTGTGCTCTTGTTGAATACTTCCACGGGGGTTGACTTGTGTGTGTTTTTTTTTTTTTTTTAGAATTGCTTAGACGGGCTGAATCTCAGTTATTGGTAATGTGGTGAGAATTCATTCAAGATGTGGTTGCAAATGGTGGGCGTGTCTTCTTGTGGACTTCATCCTAATCAATTTTATATTGTACAGTTGGCAATGCAATTTACTTATGGTTGTCTAACGGTTTGATGGCGATGAGGACAGTGCGATGAATTAATTGCCGTTTTTTTCTCACTGAGAATCACCCGCCATGCCGCGATTCTGCAGTTGAATCGGGTTCCATTTGTAGTGCAGAGTGTTTTCATCTCCAAGATTCATGGCATGTCTGCCATGCGTGATGAGTGGCACGACCAGTGTGGGCTTTCTTCTTCTTCACAAGTTGCTTTAGTGTCCTGATTGCAGTTAATGGAGCAGATATTATGCCTTGGCTATAGTAATCAAATGATTGACGCTCTTTCGTGGTTGTCGATCCGGTTGATTCCTTGTAGGTCCTAGTTGTTCTCATGAGCTTGTATCTGCTCAGGGCGGTGTCAGTGGATTCCGATTACCTCGTCTGACATTTCTTTCTTTCCTCTGAGATTGGCACCAGCGTTCTTCCTGTCTTTGGACGATTGATTGTATTATCTCTTCAATTGAGGTTAGTGATGACCTACAGTTGCTTGGGTTGGACTCGAGTACAGTTTGTTATGTAGTGGTGAATGATGCCACTCAGAGCATCTGTTGCAGTTTTTGGGGGTGGTGTGCCTGAATAAATTGGGGAAGTTTCTTCAATTGTGTTATGTGCTGAGAGAGTGTGTATCCGTGATGTGAGGAGTCAATGCAGTCGTAGTATGCGTGGGAGCCGCTGCTGTGGTACCGAAGTCATCTAAGGGAGGCCGGGTCGTTGCTTCCTTAGTGTCGGTGTGATCCGTTAATGTGTGTAATATGATTTCGATCATTTCACTTTCAATTATGTTAGTACTAGCGCTTTATTAGTTTAAGTTTGATTAACGGATTCTGATAATGTGGCGTCAATATGAGACTGTTAGATTGCTTATTGTTTGAGTATTACATACGTGTATCGCTACAGTGAGTGATGACTGCAGAGAGAAGATTGAAGATTGAATAATGAGCCCGATTGCATAGATGGTTTCTGTATTCAATATTTCCCTTAGATCATGAGTCTCGATTGTCAGTTTTCTGAATCTATGTTAAGTATCCTCAACACTTTATGAAGTTTTTTAATGAATGAACTTAAGTTGCCCTTAAATTTATGCACCCTTGTTTTGTTTGTAGTTGTAATTGCAGTTAAAGAAGTTAATGAAGTATTTATAAGACTGTTAATTTTGTTCTTACTTCATTTAAGATATCGTCCTGTGGAATACCTGTATTACTGATTTTTTCGGTCTAGTATAGTCCATACGTCTGATGATATTGCACTGGAGTTATAGCTTTATTTAGTGTATCAATTTAGATTTATCCCTTATTGAAATGATATATGAATGTTTATCCGATAATCTTCATTCTGAAGATGATGTGATCCGTCTATTATATTCATCCCTTGCAACTAGCTTAAATGTTATTTATGATTTCAGATTCT